TGCGAACTTCCGTATCCCGGGCGCAGGGCCCTGATGCTTCCTACACCCCGCCGGATGCTCCAATTGGGCAGACATTGCCTCGGCGATCTCTTCCTTCGTGGCTAGGTCGTCGATGTCGCGGATCTCGACAAACGCTTCGCTTACCACCGCCCGGACGCCTGCCTGAGTGCCAAGCACCTGGCTTATATCCTCCGTTAGCTGGGCTGTGTTCTCCTTTAGCGCACCATTCAGCTCTAGCAAGAGCTCTCCCTTTGCTGTCCGTCGGACTCTGTCGACATTGTTGCCGACTTCCTTCAGCTTGCCGTCATCCCTCCTGGTCACCATCCTGAGAATGTCGCTGTAAGACAGGTCTCCTGTAGTGGCAATTATAATAGCGTCTGGCCTATTACGCCTGGGCGGGTGGGATGTAGTCTCTCTGGGTCTGTTTGGTCGTACTACCGGCGCTTGGCTAGGCCGGCTTCTGGGCCTGCTGCTGACAGTAGACCATGTCTCTGCCTGCGGTGCTTCTACCGTTTGTGTCGATGCCTCCGTTAGCTTGCCTACGAACGGGGATGTCTGTTGGTCCGCCGTCTCAGGTGTGTGGACTTTGAGCTGCTCCTCTTGAATCCTCGCGCACATTGACGAGTGCAACTCTTTAAGGATTACTATAGAGTCCCTTGTCGCCTGGTTAATGTACCGCGCTGCCGGTCTCCTCTCTATGATCTCGAGGACCAGCCCGTCTAGGATCTCTCCCATTTCGGACGCCAGGCCTGTAGGCTTTTGGGGACCTTCTTCTTCTTCTTTTTCGCCCTTTCCGTGCTAGGAGGGCTACCTTGCTGCCTGCCTCTTTTGGGCGTGTCGGCGTCCATGTTCGCGTCGCAATGGGGTGCAGACCCAGAGGGTGACCTCGCAATTTTCGCTCTCTGAGCGAACGCCCTGCAGGTCGTCAGAGTCTGAGAGCTGGGCCAGATTCGAGCCCCCGAGCATCCTGCCGGCCTAGGCGCCGCCTGGGCCCGGTGCTTCCAGTCAGTGGTGTGAAAACGTGCGTGAGGATACCGGAGTGTCTTGCTTATATATAAACGTTTTCCGCCTAGGGGTTAGGCAGTACTTCCCTTCCGGTACGGTCGCTGGCAGAAGCTAGCTGATGTGGGTGCTACAAATTCTCCGCAGCGATCGCTGGCAAGAGCTGGCTGCTTTGACACCTAGTGTCCCTTCACAGCACTGCACTCGATCAGCTGGTTAGCGACCTGCGCTCTCCAGCCCTGGTATACCAGTTGCACAGCTGAGGTGCCTGGAGTGAAAAATGTGAAGCAGCCGAGAAAATGGGAATCGTAGAAGAAAAGAAGAAAAAAGGCGGGAGCCCCTCGGCGTTGAGTGAAAAGGCCGAGAGCGCAGTCGACGTGAGCCCCAGCCCCTCCCTGCCCCTTTGGGTGACCGTGGAAGAGCGGCGAGAAGCCCGGTTTTCGGAGCCAGGAAAGTGGGTGCCTTGATCCTCCCAGGTGAGCACGCGGTGTCAGCAACGCCTGTGTTAATTTGCCGTATTTCCGCAGGTCTCTATCGCGATTTTGGGTTTGTTATGCAGAGCAGCTGTTCGACGCGTCCGCACTCGAAAAATTCGCGTGTAGAACTCAGAAGAAAGATGTCAGTGATCGTTTATGCGTTGATTATCGAGAGCTCAATTCAAATACAGTGGCTGACAAATACCCTTTGCCGTTGATATCAGATCAAGTTAACAGATTGCGTGGGGGTAAATACTTTTCTTGCTTAGACATGGCCAGTGGGTTTTATCAGATTCCCATAGATGCAGGATCCATAGAGCGAACCGCCTTTGTAACTCCCGAGGGCCAGTACGAGTTTCTATCTATGCCATTTGGGCTAAAAAATGCCTCTTCGATTTTTCAGCGAGCTATAGCGCGAGCACTGGGTGACTTGGCGTACTCCTATGCAATTGTTTACATTGATGATGTAGTGATAGTCGCGAGGTCAAAAGAGGAAGCATTTGACAGATTGGCAATAGTGCTAAAGGCTTTATCGGAAGCAGGATTTTCCTTTAATATAAAAAAATGCTCATTTCTCAAAACTGAAATAGAATATTTAGGATACTTGGTCAAAGACGGTAGTATTGAACCAAATCCGCGAAAAATACAAGCTCTGGTTGGACTATCTGAACCAAAGACTGTTACACAATTGAGACAATTTATAGGTTTAGCATCTTACTTCCGTAAGTTTGTTCCACAGTTTTCTGAACAGATGAAACCTTTATATCAGTTAACCTCTAAAATTCATAGTTTCGTTTGGAAAGTTGAGCATGAAGAGATACGCCAGAAAATTATCTCAGTAATAACTCATGATCCTGTTTTGATTATCTTTGATCCCCAATATCCCATCGAGCTGCATACGGATGCAAGTGCAGATGGCTATGGTGCCATACTCATGCACAAAATAGACGGCAAGTCTAGAGTCGTTGAATACTATAGCAAGTGTACATCGCCCAGAATCGAGGTATCATTCATACGAATTAGAGACCCTGGCAGTGTACAACGCTGTAAAACATTTCCGACATTACCTTCACGGTCGAAAGTTTGTGATCTTTACGGATTGTAATTTGTTGAAAGCAAGTCGTACTAAAGTAGAACTAATGCCTAGAGTACACCGCTGGTGGGCATATTTACAGTCGTTTGATTTCACTGTAGAGTACCGCAAGGGAAGTCGCATGGCGCACGTGGACTTTTTATCTCGAAATCCGATTGTCATTGAGCGTGATACCATAATTAGGGCAACCGAAGTCCGCATCGATTTGACTGAGGTGACGGACAACTGGCTTGTAGCTGAGCAGCGGCGCGATTCGTGCTTAAGCGAAATCATAGCCCAGCTGAATAGTGGGGAGTCGCAGGAGAATTTGGCGAAAACATATGAGTTAAGAGCAGGAGTTCTATATCGGAATATTCAGAGAAATAGTAAAACGCGCTGTCTACCTGTAATCCCGAGAGTCTTCAGGTGGTCAGTGGTTAATCATGTGCATGAGGCGATAATGCATTTGGGGTGGCAGAAAACGTTAGATAAGGTTTATGAGCAGTATTAGTTTGAACAAGTCCAAGTATGTACGAAAATTCGTAGAGAACTGCATAACATGCAAACTGTCAAAGCCTCCATCAGGAAAGATTCAAATGGAATTGCATCCAATTCCGAAAGTCGAAATACCGTGGCATACTGTGCATATTGATATAAGTGGAAAGCTGAGTGGTAAAAATGATACCAAGGAATATGTCATAGTGCAAATTGATGCGTTCACTAAATTTGTTCACCTATATCATACTTTGAATTTGGATGCAGAAAACTGTATTAAGGCTGTGAAATCGACCATATCGCTTTTTGGGGTACCTAATCGTATCATTGCAGATCAAGGCAGAAGTTTCGCTTGTGGACGATTTCGAGAGTTCTGTTCAATGCATAAGATAGAATTACATTTGATAGCGACAGGTGCAAGTAGGGCCAATGGCCAGGTTGAACGAGTCATGAGCACAATGAAAAATATGTTGACAGCTTTAGAGACAGGTGAACGTTCCTGGCAGGATGCACTATGTGAAGTTCAGTTATCCATGAATTGTACGACAAATAGGGTAACGAAATTTAGCCCGTTAGAACTATTGATTGGAAGAGAGGCTAGGCCAATGGGCTTGTTGCCTATAAATGATGAAGCTAAAATGGATTGTAAGCAGGCAAGAGCTCAAGCCAAAGTAAATATGGAAAATAATGCGAAATATGAAAAAGGGCGAGTTGATAGGAATAAGGCCAAGATAATAAAACACAAGGTTGGGGATCATGTCTTGCTTAGAAGTGAAGAACGTCATCAGACAAAATTGGATCCTAAATTCAAAGGACCTTTTGTGGTTGCGGAGTTGCTGGGAGGTGATCGATACCTGTTGAAATCATTGACCAGTAAGCGAACGTATAAGTATTCGCACGAGAGTTTGCGAAGTTTGCCGGATGAGCAGATTTTTGACGAGAATGTTGAGAAAAACGACAGTGGTGAAAAAGATTCTGGTCGTAAGACCCGTTCTCGCACCTAAGAGAGGTGAAGAAAGCATCAAACGCAGGGGCTAGACTTAATCAACAATATTCATGCCAGGTATGGGTGATGTTGTGTGATGGACATTGGATCTGAGTAGATCGTGGCACAAGAGGTGCAAAACGTCGCAAGGATGCGGCAAGAGCCTGTAACTGTGTTTTGATTACGAGAATAGCCAAATGTGCGGGTTTGCGCAGAAGAGTACGAGCTACTAAGACAGATGATCCAGGTCAAGTCGAAGGCACAAGTGTAGAACCGGAAGTGTTCTGACATGGCGTGTGGCGCAGCTGACATGGTGTTGCGAGTTTGATGTGGCTCACTGTGAGAGATAAAGTAAGAAGCCTAATCCGTTGTTCCTTCTATTCACATTGTTGCTGAGAGCGAGGTTTGAGAACGAGAGAGAGAGTCGTCTCAGCCGAGTGTGGCGCGGTTGTGTGTACGATGCCTCTGAGAGAGAGGAGGATCAAATGGGAATTGCTAAAGAGAGCAATTGGATGATGCAATACGGTGTTAGGTATTGCGTAAGCGAAAGGAAGAAAACGAGAAGAGGAGTTTTCAGTTTGGTCACAGAATTGAAGGAGAAAACACATAGCCGCGACTCACTGCGCTCAAGTGCTACAATGCAGGAGAAAGAGCACCCAGATTTCCTGCCCCCGACATGTACATATTCATGATCCCGCACGGCAGCAGCCTATGCAGCCGTTCTCTCGCGTCTTCAACTCACATCTTTCTTTTTATCGCCTTTCGTTATCACTCTGTCGATCTGTCGCTCTCTCGCTAGCATTAGGGCACGGGCGATTCGGCCGCCTGCCCTTGGATCCGCGTCTACAATCTGACCCCGTCTTGAATCCAGCTAACTCTCCAACCGACTCGTCATCAACCTAACTCGAACCCTTCGCTATCCCTTTGACTCTGTATCGCCTTCTATACTGTTTACAACAATAAACCCCATTTAATCTGAACAACCATCGTCTCGTTAATAAACATATCGCAAACCTACGCTATTGAAAAATCTCAGTAGCTCAACAGTTTTCAAAATCCACATTTAGCTGCACCTTCACAAGGGTCACCCCGGATGTCGTTGGAACAGTCGAGAATTTGGGTATGATCTCCTTTTCGTTCTTGTAGTCCTTGGAATCGATGACCTCGAAGGCGGCCGCCTTCAGGTGCGGCAAGAACTCCTTGTAGTAGTTGTGGACATCGCACAGCTTGCGGCCCCCAGTCCTTGGGCCACGACGTTCGACCTCCACGTCGTGATTTGGGGCATCGCGAGGAAGAGGACCCTCGTCGGAGATGCTGACCGTCATTCTCGATGGCGGCCCGCTGGCGGGCATCCTTCCTGCCGTAGCGCTCGATGGAGGCCACCGTGTAGCAGGCCACGTCTTCAGGTGCGTGTGGGGTTCCGCACTGCTGCACAATCTCCACGACGGGCAGCGGCATCTCATGCCGAATGCAGTAGTTGCGCAGCTGTGTGATGTCGATCTTATCACGACAGAAGCGCAGAAGGGCCGGGAACCGTACCCGGCTACGCTAGGCTAGTTCAAAATCAGACGATATTGTTTTATATACGAGTACGAGTACCTGGAAATACAATAGAAGTAGGCGGGCGGGCGGGCAAGGTTGTGGTTACCCCCACCGGGCTGGGCTTTATCTTATCACAAACTGTGCGTAAATTGAATGTTGCCAAAGCTGGCGCAGACCAACGACAACCGCTCGATACGGCGTCATAAACAAAACCCAGCCAAAATCAGAGCAAAATTCTCATTTGATTTCGATGGCACCAACCTATTGTACCCACATACCTGCAGATACATACATATGATGTAAAGGGGGTAAAGAACCAATCGCCAGTATTAGTAGCCTTCACGTAGATCCCCGAATACTCAGGTGTTGCCCCCTAAACAGGCATCAGGGTACACCAGCTGCGAGCCAGGTGAAAGGGAAAGGTGGAAACATTTCAACGAGTTTAGCAATCCCACAGTGATGCCGTGACTAATCGTTTATGGATGAGTAAGATTGGGTTTTTGCCAGACCAGCCTAGCCCAGAACAATACTAGATATGGCCCGTTTGCGATCGGCTGGCGGCGATTAAAGTTATACCATTAAAGCGAAGAACATTCAAAATAATATTGTTCTATAAAGTCTCATAGATTGCACCATCTGGTGGCCTACACAGCTCCGAGCTGGCACTTTTCAATTGCCACACTGGAGCCTTGCTAGGGCATGCCTGATGGACTGACCATAGACTACAGCGAATGCAATTGATGTGCTACATGTACATATTTGCATACACATTTAGTACAAGCTTTACTTCTGTTTAAGGTACATAGATTAAAATATTAATCTTGATTTTGTTTAATCCTTTGCTACAACAGGTTTCGGGTCTTTTCCATCTCCATGTCTTCCCACGGAAGCTAATACTGAATGCAATGCAGTGGGTGCGGCATTCACGCCCACGGTTCCTTCACGGTTTCCTTCTGCCACTGCAATAGGAACTTCAATAACTGCGGGGGATCCATTCTCGTGCGATTTCCTTGTACTTTTTGAGCAGAATCTTTAATTTTTGAAAATTATGCAAAAAGCGTCTCCTGCTATAATTTTGCTGCAGCCACTGGAGGAGCTTTAGCGGGATCTACGCGTTTCTTTTTTATATTTTGTGCTTGTTGTAAGGAGGTTCATTTCCGTTTTGTGTTTGTTGGTGCTCCTGCTTTAATCACTGGAAACCTTCTGCTATATCCTTCTGAAAATCTCCAAGAATCTTAATCTTAAAAAAGCACACGGGTCTTTGCTCCCGCTCTAAGTTTTGAAATCAATCTATGGCGCCAACAATATTTGCTCAATATTTGGCCAAACATCGACTGTTGCTGCCGACCATCGACAGTATTGCGCGGAAAAATTGAACATTCAAATTGTATATTGCATAAATGCAATTTTTTTTTGAAATGGTTTCGAATAAGTTTATGGTACAATCATATAAACTTTATATGCATGAAAAATTCATTTTTATTTTTGCTGTGCAGCTTAAAATTTTGTCGATAGTATCGACGAGCAGATGATTCTTTTTTTTTTGATTTCAACGCCTGTTGGCGTTAGTGGTTGGTCTGTTGTAGCAGCGACCAAAAACGATGTATCGATATGTGCGAGACACTATCGATTTTACTGTCACTTTCTAGTATTCATAGAGATGAGTAATTGGCGGCGTGATCGAATTTGTATTTGTATTTTTCTCATAGAGAGTAATTTGCCAAAAAGAAAACTTCCAAGCCAAGAAACTACGTTGATATGTTATATACACAGTTACATTCGATGTGTGTTATAATCCGCCTTTTTGCCGCCCTGGTATATCGCTCCCAGCTAGCTCTCGGGTAAGTCAGGGGTGTTTTCGACCCATATCGAGGGACGGATTTAACAAAAATTATATATTGAAACATACAAAAAAAACACAAATCAAACATTCTTCTGGTCTCGTCTTCGTCGGCACTCTCTTTAGCGGGGGCAGCCGGTATTCTTACCCTTAGCGAGGCCCTCCCTTCCATGAGCGTTTTCGAAATCTGCGCTCCCATTTTCTTTTAATCTTGGTTTCGCCCTCTTCCCCGCTCTCGTCTCACCCAACTACAGGTATCTACTCACTCATTTTTTTTTCAATGCATAGTTTATATTATTTCATTAATCCTGCCTAATATTAAACATTAATTCCTTCTTTTTTTAATTTGAACTTATAAACAACAGAAAAAACTAAAAATACTGACAAACCAAAAATACTAGTAAAAGAAAATACGAAATCTATTCCGCCCCAGTTGGCAGCCCCATTTCATCGACAACAAATTAACATGGATCAGCTGAAAATTAATGTAAATAAACGATCTTAAACTAAAAAGAGCTCTTGTTAGTGCAATAAATAAATAGGGGAGGGGTGTGTCGTTAGGGGGAGGGAATAGTCTCCGTTTACAATTTTTTTCTTTTTTTTAAACGAAAATCTAATTTATTCTATTGCTGTTTTTATTTCTTTTTTCTCCTTTTTTGTTTTGTCTTTTTTCTAGTTTTGTGTAACTACTTTTGTGTTTGGAAAAACGTGGATATGATATACATATGTGTTTGACTTGAATGTGCCGGGAAAGGTGTTGGTTTGAGGTTTTGTTAATGGATATGTGTACGTGCGCGTTTTGGGTTAATGTGATGGGTGTGAGGTGGGCGAGTGTATCCCCATTGTGGTGATGTAGATCCGGCTGCCGTCTGTTGGACTGTCGGCCCGTGCTCCTCGAAGACCTCCTCCAGCGGCGCTCCGGCCTGGTGTCGGCTGTGTCTGCAACTGCCGCCTCCTCCTTCCTGCGCCGTCGTCGTCCCCGTTGTTTCCTCGTAGTGGCCGGGCTTCGTTCCCCCTGCCTTCGTGGTCACTATGCTTTCTACGTTTTCTTTTTTTTTGTTTTCTGAATTATTTTCTCTTTTTTCTTTGTCAATACACGTGTGCCTCGCTTGAACCTTTTCCGGAAACTCTCCTCGCAATCTAACCTTCACGGCCTCGTTTTTTTCTTAACTCTCTAGCCTTGCCACATTGCTCCCTCCTTGCAACCCTGTTACAGCCTCCCAGGATCCACAACAGAGGCCGCTGTCTCCTCTCCTTCTCCAGCCCTGTCGGCAAACGGCTCCTTCAAAAAGCCGTCCATAACACCACACTCCCGTTTAAAGGTCCTGCCGTCGAAACGGGAGTGCTATACCAGGGCGGCAAAAAGGCGGATTATAACAAATGGCGCCCAATTTTAAAACGGAAGGTATCGGTTTTGGAACGAGGGGTTTAAGACACCCAGTTTGAGATCGAGCCTTGGATTAGAGAAACTCAGCTGGTCCGTGAGCCGGGAATACACCCGAGCCATAGTAGCCGTTGAGGGAAGTAGGAGAGAGGAAACGGCGAGTGGACTTCGCGAGTTGTGGTCCGTGCAGTGCCTTAGGGGCGTTTGCAGCGTTGTCCGACTCGAGGAATCCACGGAGCTGATCAGAAAAAAAAGGAAGACATCGTGGGTCTGTCGGGTTGTGGTCCGTGCGATGCCGAGAGGGCATCAGCATCGTTGTCCGACTCGGGGAACCGCTGTGGTCTGGAAAGAAACAGCAAGAGGAGTTGGCACTCCGAAGAGAAAAAGAAGCGAAAGATAATAGCGATGGAAACGCATTGGTTCGCTCACCTGCTGTAACCGTGAGTTGCAGTTGTCTCTCGTCTCGCCCAGTTAGTTTAGCCTGAAAGAAAGATTTTTGTTTTGTAGACATGTAAGTGTTTTGGATTGGAATCAGTATTATAAAAGTCATTCTCGAGGACTGAAGATCCTCGCTATCATTGTAAAGTAGCAATTTTAGAAGAAGGAATAGGTAGGTCAGCGAAGAAGGATTTATTTTTTTTGAGAGAGGAGTTATTTATTTATTGGAATTATTATTTATGGTATTATTTATTTATGCGATTAATTATTTACGTAGGTGTTTATTTATTTATTTAGAGTATAAACTATATATTTATTTAAACATTTGTGTGAGTGATCGGGTATTTATTTATTATACTATTTATTTATTTATTTATTCTCTCGTCGTCCATTAATGTATTTAGGTTTTTGTAGGATAATTGATTTAGCACCAACACATATACGTAGAGTTAGTTTACATATATTGATGCATAGGTGATTAGGTAGTAGGTAAAGGAAGGTTATATTGGTTGATGAGTGATCCTAAAGTGTTTAAAGGGTCGGGAAAAACTAGGCGATGCCCTGAAGTGCAGAGGAGGTACCAGCCATACAGAATGACGACGACTAGGTCCCAGGACGGGAAAGTTGGCAGTGGGCCGGAACGAGCGTCGCAGGTGCCAGGACACGAAGACACGATGCTTATGGGACTGGATGACCCAAGAGGCCGGGGCAGTAGGAGGCCACGCAATTCGGGCGGACCGCGAGCTGCCCAGCGAGTTGAGAACAGCTGTAAATGTAGCGATATCTCAGGCTCAGGAAACATACCGCGCATCGTTGGGCCAACATGCTTGAATTTATGAAACAAATACATGCGGTGGTCGACTCGCTGAAGGTGGAGCGAACGCCGAGTGATGTGGATAGAAGAAATGTGGGCTCACGAAACACCAGTCTGGGAGGAGGTCCGCAGGAAATGCCCTCGAACCAGCAAGCTCCACCCACGCACCTGTTTGTGGATAATCGGGCATTGGAGGCCGAGCAGAGGACTAACGGCGAACCGAGACCCGTGGAGGACTGGTTGTTCAACCCCAGAGGCTCAGGGGCCAATGCAAACCCTAACAGGAGTCGTCCAAGTTACGGGGAAGTCAGGCAGGAGCAGGTGCAGATCCGGAAATGGGGTCTGAGCTTCGATGGCGATCCGAAGGGGATGCCGGTGGCGGAGTTCATCTTCCGAGTGGAACATTTGCAGACGGTGTTCCAAGTCTCGTGGTCAGAGGTGCTGAAAGCGTTTCATACGCTAGTCACGGGTCAGGCTAGGGACTGGTATTGGATGCACGTTCGGACAGTAGGAGAGCCGGACTGGCCGAACCTTAGGCATGGTCTCCAACAGCAGTTCCAAGTGCGACGGACAGAGTTCGAGCGAGAGCAGGAGTTGAGGGAACGCCGGCAACGCCATGGGGAATCGGCAGACCAGTACATTCAGGAGATGTTAGTGTTGCGGTCGAGATTGCTAAATCCATTCTCGGATTATGATCTTATAAAGATCGTCAAGGTCAATATTAGGGATGCAGTCTCGAGGGTGATTTATCCTATGCAATCCCAAATCTGCAGAAACTACGAGAAGAGTGTGCAGATGCCGAGAAGCTGCTGTCAACCCGATGGACAAGGAGCGGCACAGATCACGGGAGTAGCGGGCGATGGGAAGACCCCAAAGTGCACGAAGTAGAAGCGGCGAACCACGAGCTGGAGGAGCAGACAGAGACACTAGAGGCCGTATATAGAGCGAAGGAGTCTGGGGGCGATCGCACACAGCTGAAGTGCTGGAATTGTGCTCAGCCGGGGCACACATACTTTGAGTTTGAGGCGGCGGTGCGGAATATATTCTGCTACAAGTGTGGGGCAGCAGGGGTAATCCTCCCCAAGGTGTACTAAATGCCGGCCGGGAAACGGGAAAAGGAGCACGACACAATTGGAGGAGTCGCGTTCCACGTCACCGCGAGGGAACAACCAATAATTCTGTCCTCCGGAACAATAAGCCTAACGAGGTCGGCCAGAGCACAGGAGCTCGGGACCGATTCCGGATACGCCAGAGGAAACGACGTGGCATATGCGCAGCAATCCGTTCTGCAGTAAACCGGGACGACAGGCCGTTTGCGCACGTGAGTCTGGGCCCGAAGACGCTGATGGGACTGCTCGATACGGGGGCGTCAGTGAGCCTGCTCGGAAGAGGGGGATTGGAGATCATTGAGGAATTGAAGCTTAAGTTAAAAGACGCGAAAACAATATCGGTACAAACTGCGGGCGGTACACCTCATCAGATCCTAGGCCGTGTGATGGTAGTGATGGCATACAAAGGCCAGAAGCACCCGATGGAATTATTCTTGTGTCCGTCATTGAAGCAATCACTGTATCTTGGGGTCGATTTCTGGCGAAAGTTTGGATTGGCTCCGCAGATAGTAGGCCTGAAACGAGAAGAGGAATTAGAAGAGAACGAAGCAGAACTGCTGACGAGAAGTAGACCGACGGAACCTCATGACTTAACCCAGTCGCAGCAAGTACGCATGGAACAGGTGAAGGACAAATTTCGGTGTTTTGACAAGCACGGATTGGGAAGGACGACGATGGTAAAACACGAGATACGTCTGGTGGAGGGAGCCGTGCCTGTGAAGGAACGCTTTTACCCAGTATCTCCGGCGGTACAGGAGCTGTTGTTTGCGGAAGTCGACGAAAATGTTGCGTCTTGGAGTAATCGAGCTGAGCGAAAGCCCGTGGAGCAATCGGGTGACTCTGGCCCGTAAGCCTGGGAAGAACCGGTTGTGTTTGGATGCACGGAAGCTGAATACTCTGACCGTCAAAGATGCGTACCCGCTTCAGAGTATCGAGTCGATCCTGAGTCGTGTGGAGTAGCATCGACCTGAAGCATGCGTTTTGGCAGATAGAGCTGGAGCCGGAGAGTAGGACGTATACGGCGTTTACGGTTCCAGGGAGACCACTCTATCAGTTTAAGTCAATGCCGTTCGGTTTGTGTAACGCAGCCCAGCGGTTGTGTCGATTGATGGACCGGGTTATCCGCAGCGACTCCGAAGCCACGTGTTTGTGTATTTGGACGACCTGTTGGTGATTTCCCGAACGTTTGAGGAGCACGTGAAGCTACTAGAGGAAGTCGCAAAGTGCCTGGAGACGGCAAACCTGACAATAGGGAAGAAAAAGTCAAAGTTCTGCTACAAGTACCTGAAATACCTGGGGTCATCGTGGGCGATGGCGCACTGAGGACCGACCCAGAGAGGTGCAAGCGATCGTACAGATACCGATGCCGAAGAACGTGAGGCAAGTCAGGAGATTTTTGGGTACGGCGGGCTGGTATCGGCGATTCATCCGGAATTTTTCGGCACTTTCAGCCCCTTTCACAGACTGCCTGAAAGGAAAAGGACAATTTCAGCTAACAACGGACGCACGAGACTCTTTTGAGGAGCTAAAAAAGGCACTTACCAGCGCACCGGTATTGCATCATCCGGACTTTAAGAAGCACTTCTTCATCCAGTGTGATGCAAGTCATGTGGGAATCGGTGCGGTTCTTTTCCAGAAGGATGAGGAGGAAGCCGAACACCCCATTGCTTTCTTTTCGGCGAAGCTGAGAGGCGCTCAACTAAACTATAGTGTGCCAGAGAAGGAGTGTCTAGCGGCAGTGAGAGCTATAGAGAAGTTCCGGGCGTACGTAGAGCTGATGCCATTCACTGTGATCACTGATCACGCGAGCCTGCGGTGGCTGATGCGTTTCAAAGCGCTGGATGGTAGGCTAGCGAGATGGTCTCTAGCTCTGCAGACAAACAACTTCGAGATAGAGCATCGGAAGGGAAAGGACAACATCGTCGCCGACATGCTGTCTCGTCCGTTTGACTTAGAAGCAATCGACTTCCTAGAGTTCGAGACTACAGCCTTCGAGGACGAGGATTACCTGAAAAGGATAGAGGCGGTTAAGATCGATGAAGAAATGTTTCCAGACCTGAAGGTGGAGGATGGATTGCTGTTTAGGCGTACACAATTTGCCCGACCGGAATTGCAGGAGTTCCAGTGGAAGCTATGATCCCTGAGGCGCTGACAAGATCGTTGATCCAGCAAGCACACGACAGCGATGTGGCAATGCACGGAAGAGTTGCGAGAACACTGGGGCGACTGCGGCAATGGTACTATTGGCCCCGTATGACGGTACAGGTGAATGCATATGTCGCGGATTGCGATACCTGAAAGAGACGAAACATTCGACACAAGTTAGTCGTCCAATGATGGGTGCCGAGACCGTAACCGAAAGGCCGATGCAGAAGATATACCTCGACTTTCTGGGTCCATATCCTAGAACCCGAAGGGGGAATGTAGTAATCTTGATAGTCCTTGATCACATGTCTCGATTTGTTTGGCTGAAGGCCTTGCCCAAAGCCACATCGGCGGCCGTAATCCAATTCCTGCATGAAGAGGTCTTCGCACAGTTTGGCGTTCCTGAAATGGTACACAGGACAACGGAAAGCAGTTTGTATCAGCCGAATTTGCACATTTCTTGACCAAAAGAAGTATAGCTCACATGAGATCTGGAAATTACGCACCACAGGCGAACGCGGCAGAACGCGTGAATCAAACTGTCCTCGCAGCAATCCGCACGTATGTCCGCGAAGACCACACGCGCTGGACGAGAAGCTGCCGGAGATACAGTGTGCGGCGAGGAGCGCCATACATACGAGTATCGGGACGTCACCGTACTTCGTACTGTTCGGACAGCATATGTTCACCAGCGGTCGGGACTATAAATTGGCGCGGAGACTTGGAGCGTTGAACGATGCGCAAGTATCACTTGTGGCAAGGAATGACTAGCAGGAGATCATCCGTGATGAGGTCCGCAGGAACTCGCATGAGGCCTACGGGAGATCGAAGAAACAATATGATCGGAGGGCAAGAGATATTCGATACTCACCTGGTCAGGAAGTGTACATGCGGAATTTCATGTTGAGCAGCCTCAAAAATAACACAAATGCCAAGTTAGCCCGAAGTATAATAAGTGCAGAGTGGTCCGGAGCATCGAAACAGCTTGTACGAACTGGAGACGCTACAAGGGGCACGGCTAGGAGTGTTCCATGCGAAGGATCTCAAACAGTAGCCCTGTCATCTCAGTCGGTAGAGCATGAGCCTCGCGATCTCAGGGTTTGGGCGATGGCCTACGTTTGGGCGTATGGAATCCAGAAGCCGCCTTGGTTTTGCACTTCCCGTTTCGACGGCAGGACCTTTAAACGGGAGTGTGGTGTTATGGACGGCTTTTTGAAGGAGCCGTTTGCCGACAGGGCTGGAGAAGGAGAGGAGACAGCGGCCTCTGTTGTGGATCCTGGGAGGCTGTAACAGGGTTGCAAGGAGGGAGCAATGTGGCAAGGCTAGAGAGTTAAGAAAAAAACGAGGCCGTGAAGGTTAGATTGCGAGGAGAGTTTCCGGAAAAGGTTCAAGCGAGGCACACGTGTATTGACAAAGAAAAAAGAGAAAATAATTCAGAAAACAAAAAAAAAGAAAACGTAGAAAGCATAGTGACCACGAAGGCAGGGGGAACGAAGCCCGGCCACTACGAGGAAACAACGGGGACGACGACGGCGCAGGAAGGAGGAGGCGGCAGTTGCAGACACAGCCGACACCAGGCCGGAGCGCCGCTGGAGGAGGTCTTCGAGGAGCACGGGCCGACAGTCCAACAGACGGCAGCCGGATCTACATCACCACAATGGGGATACACTCGCCCACCTCACACCCATCACATTAACCCAAAACGCGCACGTACACATATCCATTAACAAAACCTCAAACCAACACCTTTCCCGGCACATTCAAGTCAAACACATATGTATATCATATCCACGTTTTTCCAAATACACAAGTAGTTACACAAAACAAGAAAAAAGACAAAACAAAAAAGGAGAAAAAATAAATAAAAACAGCAATAGAATAAATTAAATTTTCGTTAAAAAAAAAGAAAAAAATTGTAAACGGAGACTATTCCCTCCCCCTAACGACACACCCCTCCCTATTTATTTATTGCACTAACAAGAGCTCTTTTTAGTTTAAGATCGTTTATTTACATTAATTTTCAGCTGATCCATGTTAATTTGTTGTCGATGAAATGGGGCTGCCAACTGGGGCGGAATAGATTTCGTATTTTCTTTTACTAGTATTTTTGGTTTGTCAGTATTTTTAGTTTTTTCTGTTGTTTATAAGTTCAAATTAAAAAAAGAAGGAATTAATGTTTAATATTAGGCAGGATTAATGAAATAATATAAACTATGCATTGAAAAAAAAAAATGAGTGAGTAGATACCTGTAGTTGGGTGAGACGAGAGCGGGGAAGAGGGCGAAACCAAGATTAAAAAAAAATGGGAGCGCAGATTTCGAAAACGCTCATGGAAGGGAGGGCCTCGCTAAGGGTAAGAATACCGGCTGCCCCGCTAATTGTGTTTTTTTTGTATGTTTCAATATATAATTTTTGTTAAATCCGTCCCCTGGGTATCGGGTCGAAAACACCCCTGACTTACCCGAGAGCTAGCTGGGAGCGATATACCAGGGCGGCAAAAAGGCGGATTATCCCAGTCGGACCTTGTAGAAGTGGTTGCAACATAGTACTGGTTCTTCACTACTTCCCTGGCAGGCTTAGTGGAACCGATTCCACAAAGAATGGTTCTATCATGCATATTTTGCACAGAAAAATATGGAATGAAACCCAAACCGATTCCCGATCGTTCGTTTTTTTCACGAAGCGGCCTATCCATGCATTCTAATAGAAGCGAGAAATTCACGCATCGAAAACGTTCGCGGACAGACAATTTTTATACATGAATTTTTCGCTTCTATCTTGGATGCATAGAGAATGCATAGAGAATGCATAGGCCGCTTCGTGAAAAAACGAACGATCGGGAATCGGTTCGCATTACTTGCGTCTCTTATGTCATCGAAAACATTCTTTATGCCTTCTAATAGAAGCGAGAAGTTCATGCATTCGCTTCTAATTGAAGCGAGAAGTTCATGCCCATTCTCTATGCCTTCTAATAGAAGCGAGAAGTTCACGCATCGAAAACGTTCGCAGGTAGACGTTACTTTCTCGCTTCATTAGAAGGCATAAAGAATGTTTTCGATGACAAATCGTACCTCGGTAAGGCGTAGGACAACAAAAAAATAACAAAAGGGAACATGCAAGAACGCACGCGGTTTTTCTCGTCTTCTTTTATTTCATCACTTGCGTTTTGAAGCCGGGTGAAAATTGTGCGTTATCTGTGCCCTCTGCCAACAATGTGAAAAGTGAAACTTAAGTGCCTAAAACCGTTTATTTTACCACGTAAGTATTGGCAGATTGTTGTGGCAGTTCGACCTGCACCTTAAAAATATTAAAATAAACAATAAATAATGCATAATATACATATTTCTCTTTGAACATGTACATGCACATGAACATAACCTCAACGATGGAATGCGATATACATAAGTTCCAAACTAAGGAGAACTAAACGCACTGTAGTATATGGGGTGTAAATATATGTTGATACAAGTAGAGTGATGTTTTAATGTTCACGATGTTCATGCAGTGAAATTTATTTAGGTGGACCTTTTCGGATTTTTATTGAACTGATTAGGGTGGACATAAACATTAAAAAATTGTATTTGAAATTAATAAACTTTTTCCAAAATTAATAAAACAATAACAAACTT